TTATACGAAATGCTTGTATCAGATCGCCACGTAGCTGTCTGTAACTTAACGAGGGAATTTAGGTCTTTCGCCGTCCAGGGTCGATTCCACTCTCATTTCCCTCTTCAGGACACCACTCAACTACCCGAACCCGTAGTGGGAAAACCTGTTGCTCTTGGGAGGAAAGTATATGCGATATAGGACGGCCTGCCGCCGACAGTGTTTGAAGCAAGTCAAGTAAGCCCATCGTATGCTCAATGTTATACGAGGCAGGCTGTTGACCTGAGAATTAGGTCGGCAACGACTCCTTATAAGGAACACTCTGTAGTTTAATATACATGACTACCTACTTATTTCGTTATAGTAAGCTTGTTTTGTTTTATTATTTCATATTGTCATGGTCATTTAGAAAACCCCCGCAGATAATACATCTATATAATCATTGGCTTCCGAACTTAACTGTCAAATTCATGCATATGTTCTTTTTGCAGCAAAATGTGGTTGAGAAGTGGGCACACAAGAAATACCGCAGCACGCGTGACTACGAACTACGAATTATGACTCTTCAAAACTGGGCTATAAGCCTGGGCCGTCTGTTGGGTCCGCTACGTATTGTCTATGCGGGAGCCCTGGCCCTGAGGCTCGGCTCTTTCTACACTTGCGTGATGACTAATCTGCGTGACTGGATCCGCGTATACCTCCGCTTCCTGCTGGAGAGTGCTCAGAGTCTGAACTCAAACACCACGAAGATGATGCAGGTACGTCTATGTATGTGTTTCTCCTGTTTCTCACGACTGTCTCAGTTGCCGGCTTTCGAAGCACATCCATAAGTTCAATTATGACAGAGAGAGAAAAAAATACTCTTTGTTTTGCAGGTGAACATCCAAAATTTTCAGCGAAAAAGAGCTCCATTCTCTGAGATCAAGGGATAAGCTAATGAAATACTCAACAATCTAAAGGTTTACATGAAATCCGCCACATCTATGATGGAGAGAGGTCTAATGTCAGCTTCTGGATTTTAATCTGTTTACATGTAAAGCAGCCTGCTGCGAATGAGATATCAGAATGCTGATATAACGATATACGGCAAGATATATATCGGAAGCTCCGGCGTACAGTACAGGAGGACATAACAGGCATTAATTTAGAGTGAAATAGATTAGCAACTTCATCAAGAATGCGAGCAGCAAATTGCTTGACCGTTTTTAAATATCGCTGCACTACAATATCAGCTAACAGCATAAAAAAAACACCGGTAGCTGAAGAGAGCATTCAGAGGATAAATTTAAAAATCACCAAGTCTTTTTTAAGCAAGGTTTAAAAAGTGACCGGAGAGCAGCAGAGAATGAGGGGGAGGATGCAGGCATCTATAAATCACCAGATTAGGACTTAAGGTGTGTGGTATGAACTTTACCGACGGATATAATATAGGCGTTACGAATATTAATAAAGAGGGTCTCAATGTGAAGAGTAAATGCAAGATAAGATGTCGGAGTAACACCACGGTACGGGAAAGCGGTTACCTCATTGGGCAGGATGTCTAAGGGTGTCGGTACCCGAAGATGTTGGGAAGGACCGTGGATTTTCACTAAAACTAATAAGTAGGACCCTTTCGACAGTGAGGCAGATCGAAACTGTGCAGTACCAGATAAACGCTTCAATGTAAAATTGCCTCAGTAAATTTTTGCCAAAAAATTGACGGTTTGAGGGCGAGTAGGAAGGAAGGAGTATAAAATCACTTACCGGTTGAAGTGACTCTATTAAAGAAATCTCTTAACTTGCAATCTCTATTTATTTTCGCCTAGTCGTAGGATTACCCGCTTGTCTCGCAAATCGCGACAGAAGCGTTGTACGATAAGTGCTCACAAGAAGGGGGCGTAATTAGCACAAAAGTATCTGTAGCTCCAGGGATTTAGGTCCACTTAGCACGTAGAAATAGTAGTAAAATACGATTCTCATGTGGTAAATCGGAAGAATCAAGAGGGTTCACTGGGAGAGGTTTATTTCATATCTGGCATTTTGGGTGGTTGTGTCTTCCCAGCCAGCTTCAGAAAATAAACATTCTGGTTCACGGAACTGGCGCTGTTTATGCTCGTAACGTCAAATTTTCTCAGTCACCATGCCGGGAGGTGCACTCTTATTGACTTGAATAGGCGCGGACTCGTACAACCAGTATAACCTGATCTATAGGAGGAGCCATTACATGAATAAATGCAGACAGTGATGATTAAAATTAGAAAAATATTTGCAGAAACAACAATTTATGCAGCCC